AGCAGACAAAAAAGTCACATCCTTTTCCCTTGTAATAAAAAAGGACAAAATTAAAAGCAGGATACGTACAAGGTAAATGCTTCTTCCAGACAAGCACTAGCTGTATTTATTAAGCAAAAGAAAGAGACCAACAAAATCCTGACTTCTGTCATGTTTGGTAATCCAATAAGCTGGCACTTTTAGTAACGTTGGGAAACATTTTTATGTGTTATGTCTGCAGTCTACATTTGGCTTGTAAACTCAAATCTCAGCCTAATATTGCCACAGGCCTTGGAATGTATTTATTGTTCACCTTCACACAGTGATTTCATTTTTTAATGTGCTGAAAGCAGTTTTAATCCAGGCTTCCAGTTGCATTTTCTATAATGATATGGGGTGGGGTCTGTTTTCGTGCATGACAATTATATGTGATGAACATCACAGTATGCTCTGAAACCTAGGGTGTATTTTCCAGATATACTTGTCCTATATAACCTTGTGTGCTCTTGCATCTCTAAGCAACACTTTTTGTGCTTTGTATATGACATAAGTGTATAATCCCTTCATGGACATATTTTGGCTTATAATCACCTTTCTTATTCAGATGAAATGTACCCCATATTTTCTGTCACTTCGAGGAACATTAGCGTAAAAATACCAAAATTAAAGGTCTAAAAGTACACCTATTGTTTCTTGACAAATATTTTGGAATTTAAATAAGAAATTAAACTGCAGTTAGATTTTTTTTTAACTGGGCAAATTCATCTATTGACACTATTGATCTATTTTCCAGAGGAAAGTGCCAAGCCAACAGCAAGAAATTAGGAAGCCTGTTTTCCACTGCCAGGTTTCTGCACATAGTCTTGAGGAGATATATGCAAACCGCAAACAGAAGCAATTGCATTTTAAAGGAGAGTTCCATAATCACCAGTCCATGGGCCACTGGTGTTCCACAAACCAATTTCTGCCTTTCAAAATCACTTATTTGGGAAGATGTCCAACAATTGATAGATATTGTAATATTATGGAGTGTAACTCAATGGTGTAGAACTTGTTAGTGAGTAAATACAAATCAGGAAGTGCATTTTTAGGGCTTCATGGCCCAGCTTTATTTAAAAATAAAGAAAAGTTCCTTATATCAGGTGTTTCCACGAATGGGTTTCAGTACGCATTCCAGTTTCATACAGCATTCCACGGAGAAAAAAAAGAAAAGGGTCAAAATAATACCAGGTCTCCTGGATCCTTCTCTTTGCAACACCACTACTTAGGCCTTGTGCCTTGGGTCCTACAGACTGACTAACAGCACCCTGTGTTCACATACCACAACTAGCTTTCTCAACTCTCTTTAGTTGCAGCTCCCTGCTGCATGGGCTCACTCACTGGCCTCTCTCTCAGTTTTTCTCAGATCTCTAGGTTCTCTCAGTCCTCTGTACTCACTCAGTTGTCTCAGCTCATGGCTTGCTTAGTCATCTTGTCCTCTAGACACACAATCTCTTGATTCTAGCATGGAGTATCGCCTCCTGAGTAAAGCACACTTGTCTTCTAATGGGAACCCTGACCTTCTATCAGGCCCTTGATTATGGGGCTGTGCACATATGTACACAGACCCTGCTGGTCTCCAGAAACACCTGAAGTTGGAGGCTTCTTCCCTCCCAAAGCTCCTTGAAGCCTTCAGACTCTAGAATCCAACCAGGAATTACAAAACCTGGAGAAAAATGAAAAAACACTCTCTCCACTCAAAATCAATATTCCACACTCTGCATTCTTGTGAACCCTGTGCCACTTTGGCTTACTGTCACACAGCAGCAGGGCCTCACACTTTTATCATGCAGTTCATTATAACTATTTATGGGTGAAGAAGAATTCAAGTACAGTTCTATTGCCATGATAAAAAATAATTTTATCTTAAAGCACAACTTCAGTCAAAACCTTATATGTTAATTTTGGACAAAGTTAGGAGTGGTTAGAATCTCTGTCAATGTCAAGATTTTATTGTTGTTTCTGTAACCATTTGGAATAGTCTCTCTTTCTGTTTGGTCCCTGAGACAAAAAGAGAGTAAAATTTCATCATGGCAGTCATTGACTGTCAAAAAACATTTTAAAGTGGATTGAGGTAGGGTGAGAACCTCTATTTTTTTTTTTGTAGTTTTGATTTCTGTGTTTCTATTGGGGTGCTCTCCTCAATTCCTTTATGTTCACCAGGACAGAAAGTGAGATGGAAACTCCCCAGCGGGGACACAAGTAGAAAACCAAATAGATGTTATAACATCTTTCCCACTCTGGCTAAAATAAAAAAAATGTTTTTGCTTTAAATTGTAACCAGTTGCTTACACATTGCTCAATGAAAAAAATCTCAATGCATTTGGCATCTTGCACTAAAATAGCCAAGACCAAGTTTACCTATGTCACATAGAACAGGCAATAAACAAGCATTTGCTGCATCTTGAGAGTTTTCTCATTCCTAGAAGTATTTAAAGAGGAACTATACACTATGGTGCCTGCACAGACGTGCTGAAGTTCTCTGTGCAGCCTTTTGGTCCTGGAACAGCCCTTTGGCACATTTGTGCATGCACAGGAGATTTTCTACACATACACAAAGCAGAGATGGCATAGGGTTGGAACATCCATAATAGCTGTCAATGTGTATACTCTGGGAAATCTGTACATGTGCAGATATGTTTGAGGAAACCTACGCATGCAGATGAGCTGACTTGAGACCAAAACCCCTGAGGCACATCTGCACATGCGCAAAATCTGGGAGGAAAGGAAGGGAACACGAACGTCATTCTTGCCTGGGCAAGAAATGTTAAAAGTGATGCTAGGCAGCACAAAATAAAAGAATTAAATATTATATCCAATTTTGAGAGAGGAAGGAGGGAGAAGGCAGGGCAATATGACACTTAGTTTGGGGTGAAGGTCTGCTTAATGCATGAAAACAAAATAAATGTAATCGTGTCTTTTCATAAAATAGGAGGTCAGAAATGTAATAACTGTCGAAGAATAGATTGATTTACACTGTAAATAAAATACAAAAATTTCCCCGAAATTATAATGTAGTATAAGCAGGAATATATATTGTAAACGGGAATAACTGGTTTATTCCAGGACAACCAACTTTCTGGGCCAAGTGACACCACCTTTCTACACTTAACAGGCAATGTCATCTGAATATCTTAATACCTTGTACTTGAAAATGTCATGGAATTCAAGATTATGTAAAGAAATGTTTTTGCTACATGGAAATACAGTATATTCTACACATTTTAGAGAAACTCTTCCAGGATAAAAATTAAAAAAAAAAATCACTAACCAAAAAAACAAAAAATTTGCCCAGCAGGATTTGTGATGTTACAGATAGTGAGAGGTGTGTGTACCTTGCCTATTTCATAAACAGATAATTTGATGCCTAGATGAACTAGATGCCTAAAGGTGGGTGGCTTGTGCCTGTCTATGTTCATTGGAAGATAGTTGCCAAACCTGGCAGATTTCGTCCCACCACTCTCCAAGTTAAGCAGCACCAGTATCTACCCACATTTTACAGTTCTCAACTGCACGGGCCTAAAAATAATGTTTAACCAAGTCAAGTGTTCATGTTTTTTGTGTGTGATAGCAGACAGTGGTATCTGAGGGTGGATAGATCATGCCTATGATCAACTTTAGAAACATTTTTTATCAGCTAGACAGGGAATGTATTTATGTGTACATATGTCTCAGAAGTAAATGTAGAAACAGACACAAGATGGTTGTTGCATTGGTTGGTGCCTAGCTGTGGAACCTTGCAGATACTGCTGTTCAAAGATCCATGCCTGATCACTATTGTTTCTAAAAAGAGAAATCTATGATTGTAAATGTTTGCATGTGTTTCTCTCCTTCCCACACTATTGTATAAACATAAAAATTGAATGAAGACAACATCAGATGGCTAGATTGCACCAGCATGTCAAACCACTCTTTGATCATTACCACAGGTCTGACCATATTATAACTTTGTCAACCATAAAGCTTGGATTGCATGTTCTGCGCATTTTCTTACATTTTTTTTTTACCTCAAATGGTGTTTAAGATGTTTCAGTTTTGTGAACGTGGTATATACTTTATAGCCTGATAGCTAAAATATATGTGTCACGTTAAACAGGTTTTACTAGAGGCATGTGATGTAGTGCATGTTTGGAAATAAATAATAATTTAGAGCTGTTTTGCCTTTCTGTAGTGGGCGGATTACTTTATCTGGTGAGTGCAACAATTCCAGGTGTAACACATTCACCGATGTCTCATCTTTGTCTACCAAATATCTGGGAGGATATCAAGTGAATGTCAAACATGGGAATCTGAGCATTGTCACTGTCTCACCATACACAAGGAAATAAATCATACATTGCTAATTACATGTTCTTCATAATGCCACTAACTACACAGTAGTAATGACTCAGTGAACTTGTCAGACATTCTTAACTTTCTATTCCAGTGACAGTCATTTCAGGAAAATCTGTTTTGTCTTTAATTCATGACCTAAACCTTTGCTTAGTTAGTAGTTTTGTGAAACAAAGCCTCCTCTACCACCATCCTTTATTTAAAGCTGTGGTCAGCTGAATAAAATAAGAATCTTGGAGCATACCTATGGATTTGAGGTGCTTAACAAAAATAGGTGCAAAAACTACATAAAATGAATGCCACTTTAGAATACAATAGTGATCTATGTTGGGATAAAGAAAAATAGACCTTTCATTCCTTTAGAGAGATTTACCCTCACTTCCTGTCTGGGTGACAAAGGTTTCAGTGAGGATAAATCTCCAACAGTAACAGACAAAAATAAAAACACTTATTTTAACAGCAAGGGGAGGCTAGAACCACTTTCATTGCTGTCTGTGCCCCTGTTGAAGATTTTTTTTCTCATTTCCAATGTGGTAGAACCATTGCCCTCAAGACTTAAAGTGAGAAAAGATTCCAAGAAAGAGAAAAACTTGATTTGGGTCCTAACACTTCTTTACGCCATACAAAACTAAAATGAATGCTTAGCTTACCGTCCACGTTGCAGACTTTGCTGTGCTAGACTGCTGAAATGAAACATCAAAGCTGTGAGGTCCTGGGTAATCTGTATTTGATGGGATGGCAGGAGAAGGAGACAGGGCATCAAATGTAGAACTTGGCTGAGCATATGGAGATGGTGCTGTCACACTGTTCTGGGCATGCTCATTTGTGTAGGGGCTTGTAGAAGATGAGCCATTCTGTATCTGCTGTTCCATGCTATTCAGCAGCCCCAAATTTGTATACTGAGGCTAGAAAAAAAAAACACATAAAAGCTATATGAAACTACAGAAACCATGAAGGACATGACATTAGGATTAACACAATACCATATACTGTAGAACTTGTACAAAATGACATTGTCATTCAGATGTGCATAGGGCAGCAAGATATCTCCATACAGTCCTGGGCATAGGCGCACAAGTCACAGAACTTAAGCAGGAGCGGAGATTTGTCATTATTTACTCTAATCACTGTTCATCCTCACCCAGTGCAACATCCTTTTTTTGTGCATATGCAATGAGAGGTATATTTTTTTTATGGGGAAAATATTTAATTGAAACAAGGCATTGCCAACCTTTGTGATGCAAGAATTCTCTCAGGCGGTCTGTGTTGCTCAACAGTAACAAAACAAGACTCACGTACTGTAAAATGAGATTTGTAAAAATAAAATTTTGATTCGGATTGGATGCTAACATTCAATGTGGTATACATGGAATGTTCTTCCATTAAATATTTTGATAAATTAAAGCAATCACTGTGAATTACTACATGATCTATTTATCATTAGGTCACAAATAAGTACCCCATTAATAATTCTAGCTTACATAAACACAAATCATAATCACAAATAGGCTATATTCATTATAATGAGAATGCTGTACTTTGAGAATGGTTAAAAGAAAAAAGAAAGTGACCTAACAACACATGGGTGTTAATCTGCCATTTCAAGATTACATGCATTAAATTTAACAATTATGAGAACCAGTCTGACTACTTAAATATTAAAAACAAACAGGGAAGCTCTGGTTAATAAAATGCTTTCAAAAGAAACAACTGAAAGGCAGATTTGGAGATCAGAGATGTAAAAGTGCACACTGGGACACTCCCTGATGCATGACAGATGGCAAAAGGAGAGATTATCTGCAAATTTTGTTTAGTGCCTTAACCACATGTGAATATTTTCAAGGTGCCCAGTTAGGAAAAAACTCATTTTTAAAGGACAAGTTCACTTCTGGGAACATGTTACATGTTCCACCCATGATCCCCACACTCCCTGTGACAGCAGATCCGGGCTCTTCTCTGAAAAGACAGCAGCCATGCGGGGCTTTGCCCACATGGCCACATCATTCATTCACAGAGTTCTGTGAATGAATGAACTACAAGTACCGATAGCCTTTGCTGTTGAGCGCTGTGGTTCATTGATGCTTCCTGTCATTGTATAACTGCCTGCTCGTATGAGGTCAGCTTACACTGACGTTCTGCAAGAGCCTTAAATTGCACCTTTGATCTGCTGATTGCAGGTGCAAGGCTTTAAAATCCCCTGATAAAAAAAATAATAATAAATGCACATTTTTTTATTTGCAAAAATATGTGCATTTTTTTTTTAAAAAGGTGAACATGTCTTTTAACTCTTCAGTATCACAGCCTAAAACTTAGTGTACAACATGGAAACTTTCCATTAAGGTGGCTCAAACTGTGGGAGAGAAACTGGCATTCATTCAAAGGAGCTAAGCATACATTTAGGAGAGCAGCATTCCACATGAAGGTTTGCGGATGGCAGGAAGTCTGGCTTGTGAAGTATGATCAGAAGCAAAAATAACACTGGCAATATCCTCATCAGATAATCATTATGCAGAGATACAGGCAAAGAGACTTGCTATTCATTCAGTTAGTTCCAGAAGTAAGAAAAGTTGGACTTTCTAGAGGTTTCAGCAAATCTTACTTGGAAATGTAAGTATTGGCTTCTCAAAAGACCAGATCTAGCAGTGGGCTGGTGTGTTTGCAATAAAAGATGGTCAAAGCCTTCATCGGTGTCTATGGGAGTGCCTTTAATGTTAAAATTCTTCCTGCCAGTGTTTCTTCATATAATACATATGAAATAAACAAAACCTGACATACAGGGTGTCATTAATGCTTTTATTTGGAAAAAACGTATGCCTTGTTTTGAGACGTAATGTAGTTTAATGCAACATATAGAATGTATTATCAGTCTATTTCTATAGTATCTTAAGCACAAGCTCTATTTATCCATCATAATCAAGCAGGGTTCAGTCATGCACCTTTCCTTGCTCCTCCCTACAAGCTAAAATGAATGTCTCTTTGAACCATGCCTGTGTTTGTGTGGCAAGCTGTACAAAAAATATTTAAGAACATTGCTTTGTGCCTGCACACCTAACTGTCCTGTAATGTGTATGGCCAGTTTAACTCTTCTAAAACAAAATTATACCATTATATGCTTCTAATATCACATTTAAAATGACTAACAGTCTGATCTTTGAGTACTGTGAGTATTGGTACCTACTCTGCAACTGTTACTGAATCTTGGTTTCATTTAGCAAATATGCAACCTGTATGAACAATTTTCCAAGGCCTAACTGACCTATAAAGCTGTTGTTAGAAGTAATGATATGGCAAGTGGATCTTACCTAGACCACTAACTACAACATCTGCAAGTTTTGGGGCAATACTACTGAGTAGCCATGGTGTGCGGGGGAATGTCAAAAAGCAGTCTAAAAACAGGATGTCTATACTGTCAGAATCAATAATTGGTTGGGTTTGTCTGAAGACACACCATTTTATCCCCCTTCCCCTGCTACAACTATGCTATGATGGCAGCAGGTGACAAGAGTCCAGGAGTGCTGTAAGATCATATTAGAGAACTTGCCGTGTTAGATCAGTGATAGGAAAATAGTCTAGTTGAGTAGAGCATTTAACTTCAATATAAAATCCCCTTCAGCCTCCTTCAATGGAGTTGGAGCAGGATAGGGATAGGCCTCACATTTCACACTTCATAAAGGCCAGTTCTTTCATCTTCAGCAGTGTTTAGTATTGTCTACTACAAACTAACATGTCTCTCTTTCAGTATCATAATGTGTGTTAGGCTAGTCCAGAATCAGACAAGTACAGTAAGTAATAAATAGTGGGTTTTAGAGTCATAAGAAAGAAAAATGGTTAGCAACCAGAGCAATATTATGTCTAAAATGCCATTTAATTAAAGTCTTTTGGATGAGTCATCAGGAAATTTAGGCATAGAACAAGACAGTTTAAAAGTGGGTGAGTCAAGAAGTCTGTCATTTTATAGACTCACAAAAGTAAAGTTGACCCACCTCTTAAGCTCAAAGCCTAGAAAATGATTTTAAAGGAAGAGCTGTATCCTTTTCTCTTCCTTGCATTGCATTTTGGAGCAAAGAAATGATTCAGAGGAGCTGATATTGCTCAACAGGAAGTACCTTAATTTTCAGAATACATGATTCAGGCATTCCAAGAAATTATATTATGGTTCTTACACAATTTAACAATATATCACTGCAGAAGAAAACTTTTTTTGGTTCAGGGTGTTTTTTTCCTTAGGGAAAAATCTGACATCTGAAATGTGTTTACCCTTATATTAGTGTTTTTAAACTGGGGTAAACCAGGACTAATCTCGATTCATCAGTGTCCATTTTTTAATTTTACTACTTATGATCATTGTGGTATATATGCATTTTAACTTTTAAAATTTACCAGGTTCCAGATTTGCATGGAGTAAACAACCAATCAAGATGTTGTTTCAGCTAAACGAATGTTATTCTAATTGTCACTAATTTAAGGCTGGACAATTCTTTTTTGCCAAGTCACCACTGTGAATGAAAAAAATTCACTGGTTACCGGGTCCAGGGCCAGTGATAGGGCATACAGGCAGTCCACTTATGCCAGTCTTGGGCCCTTTTGGATCAACAGGGGGGCCCAGGCCCAGCTGTATAACAAAAACTAGTGCAGAAAAGAGGTTGGTGATGCTACACCATGATCTCTTCTGCACTGTAATCTGGATGTGCATATAATGTCCTATCAGTAGGTGGCAATAGAAAGGTAGTCACTGGAAAAGCATAGAAGTGGCATGGCAGCAAGTACGATGAGGAAACTGGTCTTGTGCATACTCATAACCTGTACACATACATGGATGGTTATAGAGTAGAAGCAGACAGAGGGCTGTAATACAGCTTGGTGTGGCTATAGAGAAGCAGGTAGAAGCTGGCAAAGGGCTGTAGAACAGTGTTGACTAGTGCACACATTGAGCGGTATAGAGATGCGGAAGGTTAACACTGCCAGAGAACTGTGGCATAGCAGAGACTAGCTATATACATTGGTTGGTGTAGAGTAGCAGCAGATAGAAGCTGGCAAGGGGCTTGCATGTATGTGCTTAGTGTAGTCACACTAGGATATATACCAGGGGGCACAGTATAATTTCTAATAGTGCTTGTTATAGCCTTAATACAGTGGTACCTATGTTTTAGCAGTGCTGCAGGATCTTCCCAATGATTCTTCTTGGCCTTAGGACAATTAATATTACCAATGCCTCATCCACCAAAAGGTTCCAAAAAAGGTGCATGTGTGGTTTGAACTTGGGGCTGTAGTGGAGAGGTGTTTGGGTGTCAGCAAGTGCGTTTCTGAGTTTATGTTGGGAAGCATGTCAGGAAAGCTGTTCAGAGCCTTGTGATTTTTAATGGTGGCCCTGACCGAGCCATTGAAAGCTATTGCTAGAGGGGAGGCAGTCATTGAACTGCTTGGGCTATTGTTAAGTAAAGCCAACTCTGCATGAGTACGTAGCAGCTAATGTGTCTGTGTTTGTAACCAGTGTTGCGCAAGACAGACCGAGCTAAGTCCTGTCAGTGTGTTAGAAACTTAGCTCAGTATGCCTCACGCAATGCCAGCTGTCAATATAATCATATTAGTTGCTACATTCTCAAGTAGTGTTGGCTTTACATTATGATAGCCTCGGCCTTTTGCACCCCCCACTTCCCCATTGGAAATAGCTATATTAACACGTTGGGGAAAGGCCCATGCCAACATGCTCCCTCTCCCCTCTCAAACCAATACTTGTCAGTTCCAGGACCATGACTTTCCTGTGTTGTGAGAGATAGGAGCAGCTACCACAATGCAGGCAAGCCTTGGAAATATTCAGCATTTTCTGTTTATTGTTATTTATGTTTTAAAGTTGTTATACTAGTACATTAATAGCTTGTTCTCTATTTTTAT